AGTGGAAATTTTGGGGTCCAACAGTAAGTGAACATGATAGTCTATGGCGATCGATGGCGATGAGTGGTTGCTGTTGATATGAGACTTTGATTTAATTCAAGGGTCAAATTCATATTTTATCTAAAATTTAAGTTTGAAAATGATATTTCATTAAAAGTTTAAGGTTAAATTAATATTTGACATAAAGTCAAAAATACCCCTAATATGTAACTAAATAGTTGTTTTGCCCTTTATTTTTTGGAGCGTTTTAGCCACAACGTTTTATTTTAGGATAAAAAAACCTCTTTGTGTGGATGAAAATCTGTAGTTAACAAACGATTAATGCTCCAAAATAAGTGTCTTTTATTTTAAAATGAAATGTTGGAGGCCAAAATACTCTAGAAAAAAAATAATAAGGGCCCAAGCGATATTTAGTCAAATGTTAGGGGTCTTTTTACCCTAAAATAAAATGATAGAAGCCAAAATATTTCAAAAAATAATAAAGGCTAAAATGACCAATTTGATAAATATTATGTACTAAAATGACAATTTAATCAAATATTAGAGTTCTTTTTATCTTAAAATAAAATTTTAGTAGCCAAAATATTCTAAAAAAATAAGAACTAAAATAATCATTTTAATAAATATTAATAACTAATTTAACAATATATCTTAATATTTTATTAAAAGTTTAGAGAAATCAAATTAACCCATATCCACCTCTAATTTTACTAGTCTACTCAACTACTTTATCTATCAAAGTCAAACTCTTTATAGTTTATTGTACAGCCACAACGTCCACTTTGACCAGAGCCCGCCATGTTTGATGCTTCTCAGCTGAATAAACCAGTCCCTTTATACAAAATTAATGCCTCCATTGCTTTACATAATCATCATATACCATGGGAAACTTCATCTTCTTCTTCATCGTCTCCCTTTTCTTCCCATTTTTCTCCACCGTTTTTACCGTCGAGTCGAACACTTCTTCCTGCCCAATCGACCTCAGTTATGTCGAAACCTTCCCATGGGACGAATCCACCTGCTTCAACCCACAAGGAACACAGTGCTGCCAAACGCTAACCAGCCTCTTCGGCATGGGAATGGCCCAGTACCTCAAAGAAACATCCGTTTTCCAGTTGCCGAATCCCAACGTTGCTTCTTCTTGTCTCTCCGATTTCCAGAACAAGATGGCCGCCAAATCCGTACACCCATCTCTGGTGTCTTCTTGCTTGAGGAACTCGACGCAATTCGTCAGCAACACTTCGAATTGTGATGGGATTATAACGGTTCAAGATTGGGTTCAAAAACTGGGTCCGGTCACTGTATTGGATACGGCTTGTAAAGGCGACGTGACTGGTTTGAATTGCAGACCATGTATCGAAGCAGGTTACAATGTTTACTCGAGGCTACTGAGTCTGGATCCGAATTCCACAAAGTGTTTCGATTTCACCGTTTTGTATGCCATTGGTGTGGTAAATGAATTTGGTCCAAAGGATCAAGGGTCAGCTAATTGCATACTGGGTTTGCCGTTGGATAGCTCGGTTGATGAGAAATCAAAGAGGAAATTAAGCAGGGATTCCGTGTTGAGATTGGTATTTGGTTTTTTGGGTGCTTTTGTTGGTGTTTTGGTTGCTTCTGGATTCATATTTTTTTACAGGAAATGGTATAGGAAGAACAAGAGAGACGCTTCACATAGACGATTCGTGAGCGGTTTCAGGTCCGGTGTGTTGCCGAATTCCGGTGCCAAATGGTTTCATTTATCGGAGCTCGAACGAGCCACCAATGGTTTTTCTCCGAAGAACTTGATCGGCCGAGGTGCGTACGGAGTTGTGTACAAAGGAACCCTTGCGGATGGTGCTTTGGTTGCCGTAAAACAGATACTCGATTTCGAATCGGAAGGCGACGATGATTTCTCGAACGAAGTCGACATCATAAGTAAGATCAGGCATCGGAATCTTCTATCACTCCGAGGCTGTTGCGTCACGAGCGACACGGAGAAAGGTCGAAGACGATATCTGGTTTACGACTTCATGTCGCATGGCAGCCTTGGTGATCATCTATTCAATGATTCCACTAGGCCAAAACTGAATTGGCCTCAACGGAAGAACATAATTCTTGATGTTGCTAAAGGCCTAGCTTACCTGCACTACGGGATCAAACCATCGATTTATCACCGAGACATCAAGGCAAACAACATACTTCTCGACTCGGTAATGAAGGCGAAAGTCGCGGACTTCGGATTGGCGAAGCAGAGTTCGGAAGGCCAGTCTCATCTCACAACAAGGGTTGCAGGCACACATGGCTATTTAGCACCCGAATACGCACTCTACGGACAACTAACAGAGAAAAGCGATGTTTACAGCTTCGGAATCGTGATCCTTGAGATAATGAGTGGGAGGAAAGTGATCGACACATCAAATTCATCCTACCTATTGATCACAGATTGGGCTTGGAAGCTGGCGAAATCGGGCAATGTACAAGAAATCTTCGACGAATCAATAAGAGAGGAAGGACCGAAAGGCGTGATGGAAAGGTTTGTTCGAGTAGGGATTCTTTGTGCTCATGTCATGGTGGCTTTCAGGCCGAAAATTGCAGAGGCTTTGAAGATGTTAGAAGGTGATATTGACATCCCCAAGTTACCAGACAGGCCATCGCCACTGAGTCATGAGTCCTTTAGGTCATCCTTGGGAAGTATAGCATCAACAAGTAATACATCAAAATATAGCTCAAGTTTGTTGATAGTATAGATTGATTTCATTCTTGGGGCTAGGCTTAGAAAAATATATATTTATTTCATTCAAGTTTTCATGTAATTATTCTTAATAACATTAAACAATTTTTGGAGTAATTATATCTACTCAATTACATGTGTTTTTGTTGCAACTTTTGATATTTTTTTAGAGTTAATTGTATTATATTTAAACTATAACCCTCATTTTAAATTAGACCTTAAACTTTTGAATATTTCACTTTCACCCCCAAATTATGACTCTCATTCTAAATTAATCCTTAAACTTTTGAACATTCCAATTTCTTCCTAAACTATGACACTCTTTCTAAATTGGTCCCAAAATTTTTGAATGTTCCAATTTCATCCCCAAATTAATCTAAATATGTAATTAGTTTCAACCATAATTTAACGTAAATTTTGTTTTTTTTCAAACATATAATAATATAACTTGGTCTAACAATTTTATTAAAATGCGATTAGTATATTCGTATAGTTTGGGGATCAATTTAGAATGAATGTCATAGCTTGGAGATGAAATTGAAATGTTCAAAAGTTTGAGGATTAATTTAGAATGATAATCATAATTTATGGATGAAATTGGAACATTTAAAAGTTTAGAGATCAATTTAAAATAAGGGTCATACTTTGATGACATGTGATGCAAATAATGCTTTTTCTTAATGAAATGATATTTTTTTATATCTATATTAAATTGGTATAATGACAAAATTAACCTCTGACGATGGTATAAACGGTTTCAGAATCATAAGGCAGCCTACTCAAATTTTCCTCGAAAATCAGTCCTGGATCCAACCCGGAAGAACACTCTTTGGGGTACTCTTTTAGGCCTTTGCTTTTTAAAAGATCAGCCAGTATTATAACTGTTCCCAGCTCCGCCACCTCCACTGCTGGTATTAGTGCTATTGCTACATCTTTGGGTTTGATTTTCATCTTCTTGAGCCATTGTCTCTACCAATTTCCATATAAAACAGAATTTTTTTTCCTTCAAAATTTGAAGAAAAACCCAAGAATTTAAAGCTTTTGAGGAACACCCAAATCTTAAAAACTTGTTAGGAAAAAGATGTTAACATGTCCTGGGCAGATAACCTGGCTAGTATAACTTCATTCATGTTACTCTTCATATAAACATAGAAACTAAGCTTTTTGAAACTGATGAGAGAGATGAACAGTCTTTGAAATCAAAATATTATTAAGGATGAAAAGGAGGGAGGGTCTGTTTGATATAAAAGTAAATATAAAACTATTGTTTAACGGTCAGTTTGATGTTTTAGCAGTGTTTTAGGAATAAAACTAAATATTAACTTTTTTTTTTATTAATGTAACCACATCATCAATTTAAAATTAATGGAGATACGATGGACTGATTATTTTGTTACAAATCGATAATATTAGTGATTAATTTGTTATTTTTTAAACTTAGTGAAGAAAACAAAAATTTATTCAAATATTAGTGACCATTAGTGTAGTTTACCCTAAAATTAATTACTTGTTTACAATTTTTGATGATATACTCTATCAAACACTTAGGGGGCGTTTGGAAGGAATCCACATTCCCCCGTTTAGTTAGTCTGAGAATCTTATTCTCGGTAATATAAGATTACTAATAGTAGATTTTTAGGTATATTATCGGGAATGTCATTACCTACCTTTCTTTAGGTATTGTTGGATTACTGACGTTTTAGATTAAAATGCCCTTAATTTTTTTTTCAAAAATATTATTATTCTGTCATTAAATAATAAAAATTCTACGAAGGTTAAATTACAAATTTATCCTTAAACTATTTTAGATTTACAAAACAAAAATTTATAATTACAATTTTATATGAAGTTAAGTGGTTAAAATAAAATTTTACCCTTCCATTTAATTTTTTTTTACAAAATTGACAATATAATAAGAACAATTTGATTAAATATATATTTCAATAATTTTTTATTCTTTTAACCAAACACGGTAATCTTACATTCCTGCTAAGTCAACCAAATACAAAATATAATATTTCCAGTAATCCTATTCCCGGATAATCTTACATTCCTACCTATAATCTTACATTCCATAAACCAAACACACTCTTACTCTAATATCATAATAATAGTTTACACACACGTCATTTTACAGTTGCAGAACTAGAGTTCTTCAACCTGTGTTCACATCGACATGGACGATGCCATGCAGGAACTACAGTTAGAAAAGTGAGTGATTTTGGTATTATTTGGAAACTATAAGGGTAAAAATGTCAGAAAAAAGTCAAAGTGAAACGAGTTTTTCTGGAGGGTACAGCGTTTTATGAGGACGAGAAACTAACCTTTTTTTTTCCTTCTTCTGTCCTGTGGTGATGGAGGAGTCGCAGGAATTACCGGAGTGTCCGGTTTGCTTGCAACCGTACGACGGCGAGTGCACGATCCCGCGTGTGCTCGCTTGTGGCCACACGGTGTGCGAGTCATGCCTCGTGAACCTCCCTAAGAAACTCCCGGGAGCGATCCGATGCCCCGCCTGTACGGTTCTCGTCAAGTACCCGCCGGAGGGTCCCACGACTCTCCCCAAAAACATCGACCTCCTTAGACTCATCCCCGCCTCTGAAAATCCCCGAAAACCCGTCAACAAACCGAAAAATGTCTCCCATGTCCCTTTCCTCCCTCGATCTTGGTCCGACGAATTTTACTCCAACTGGAAAAACTACCTCCTCCGTGACGATGACGTTGACAGAAACAAAGTGAGTCTTTTGCCTGTTGGGTATTTTTCAACCGGTGGGGAGGATGACTCTGTGTTTAATACTGAGTATCTCGTGAGAGTTATGGATTGTTTGCGTGAAATGAAAGAGGATGGAAGAGAAGAATTGGGTTTAGTTTTAAGAGCATTTACTAAGCAAATTTGTAGAATTTGTAGAATGTTGGGTCTGTGGGGTGATCTTGGGGATGGGGTTTTGTATTTAGTAAGTGAGAAGCAGAGATGGGGTAACTTTTTGGATGAAAACTTGTGTAGTTTTGAAAAAGATGGGGTTTTTAATTTCGCAATGATCGGTATGGAAATGTGCGAGGCCGTCGTTTCTTTACATGGAGAAGGGTTGATTGCTGGTTGTTTAAGCTTTGCTTGCTTTCAGTTCGATGATTTTGGGCATATATATATTGATTTGAACGAGGTGTTATTGACCGGAAGGGGAATAAATGTTATGAATGTTGTTTATAGTGGTAAAAAGATTAGTGATGAAGAAATTGGTATTTTGTTTAAAGATTTGTTGAAAAGGGATGTATTTGTTAGCCCTGAGGTGTTGCTTAAGCTTTTAGATAAAAAGGGTATTGAGGTAGAGTGTGATAGCTCAAGATATTCGATAGGATCTAGTTCGGATGCTTGGTTGTTAAGTTGTATTCTGCTTAGGATTGTCAATGGGGAAGCTTTTAGTGATGAGTTGGTTGATTATATGTGCCATATTATTGTGAAAGGAAGTGAAAATTGTGAAATAGATTGTTCGAGTGTGTATACAAGTTTCATGGAGAAAGTGAGTTCTTTGTTTGGAACTAAATTTGGGGACAAATGTGTGCCTTTGCAACAGATTCTATGTAAATGCTTGGATCTTGATCCCGAGCATCGTTCACTTGTGAGAGATGTATGGAAATGTATTAGGGAGCTAGTTATTAAACCTCAATTCGATAAATTGGTGAAATTGGATGGTGCAAGTTATGATGAGAACGGAGATCGATGTTTGGTTGCGGGAAAATTGTGTCTGATGTCTGGGGTAAGACCTGTAAAACAGGAAAAAGAAGAGACACAAGGAAATGAAACAAATGGTGCAACGGACATGGTTAATGGTCTCACCGAGGGAAGCATTAAATCTAAAGATTTGCAAGGCCATCTTGATTGTGTTTCCGGATTAGCCGTAGGAGGTGCAATTTCTTCTCTGTCTTTAATATACGCTGTTTCAAATTCAGGACATTTGACTGCTACCTTAATTATGTTGTAGAAGAAATTGCAAGGCATTGCTGAAAATTGAGTTAAATGCATCTTTGTTTTTAGTGCTATCTTTGTTAATTTTCAAGCATCAGAGCCTAATTGATTCAGTGCCAAGTAATGGTTAAAGGGGGAATTCCCTTGCTACCAATGAAATCAATAGGAATATCTCCTGGCCAAATGATGGAAAAGGTTCTTATTGTGTTATGGTTTCTGTATTTAGGAACTTTACTAGCATCAGGCCAGTGAATCTATGGTAATTTTGTCGCCTTTTCTCACATTTGCTGTAAGAAAAATTTAACTTTGAATTCGCTGTTGCATGGACATGGTTGCTTGTCCAAGTATAGTTACTTATTGTCCACGTTACAAGGTTTCCTTTTGTTAATGGGGTGGGTGTTTTGAAGCCGGGGTGGCAAGCGTTGTTGATTTTTGCTTTTTGATAATTGAAACAGTGTTTCTTCCATTGCACGATTGCTTCGCCTATGATACTTTCTGCATCATATCCGGTTAAACTATGTTGTTTACCTTTTATCTTTTTCTTTTTAATGTTAATGGTATGCTTGATCTTCTTCTTCTTCTTCTTCTTCGCATACAGTCTTAAATTTATTGTTCAAAACATATATAGTGTTAAATGATTTTATGAATCTCAGGCAATTTAGGAGCTGTATTCAGATTTTCCTTTTTCTGTTCTAGGGGGTTATCTGTTTAGCTCTTCGTTCGATAAATCAGTCAAAGTATGGTCTCTGCAGGTATGCTCTCCTAAATTATCATTTATTCAAGTGGCTCTACTTGTACAATTTAATTCCGAGCATACTCCGGAAGCGTAATATTTCTATGAGTAATTTAATTTGGATTATTGACTCCCTTTTGAATCAGTTTCTTCCTGAATTAATTACAGGACTACTCCCATTTGCATACGTTTAGAGGTCACGAGCACAAGGTAATGGCTGTTATCTGTGTAGATGAAGAACAGCCATTATGCATTAGTGGCGATAGTGGAGGTGGCATATTTTTATGGAGTATTACTACCCCTTTCAAGCAAGAACCGTTGAACAAATGGTACGAGGAAAAGGATTGGCGCTACAGCGGAATTCATGCTTTGGCAGTTTCAGAGAACGGCTATTTATACACAGGAAGTGGAGATAAATTGATTAAAGAATGGTCATTACGGGTATATTTCTTTAATTTATCATTATATGTTTGCTGCTTATTTATTAACCTTTTGAAATGCTAGATGATAATAATTCGGAACCTTGCTTTCCTTTTCTTCCAGGATGGCACCCTGTCAGGCACTATGACTGGCCATAAATCGGTAGTTTCTGCCATAGCAGTGAGTAATGGAGTTCTTTACAGTGGGAGTTGGGATGGAACTGTTCGATTGTGGAGTCTAAGTGATCATAGCCTTTTAACTGTTTTAGGGGAAGACATGCTGAGAACCGTGTCCACCGTCTTGTCTCTTGCAGCTGACCAGCATACACTTATTGCTACTTATGAAAATGGCTCTGTAAAGGTTCTTTGTTCTTCGAACATTTCTCGAGTTTGTCTTCTATTTATTGTATTCTTTCGCGTGCGATTACATTTTTTATGGAAATGAATTGATGCCACACTATCCGTATGATAGCTTATGGAATGATGCCGGTATCCACAGTCTGAAACTACCTTGCTTGAAAGCTAGAAGTCTGATTTCAGTGCTTTTCAGTAAATGCACAACATCTGTTCTTGCCACCCCCTCCTTTCCTTTTATTCGAGTTTGGTAATGAGATCATTTCCATCCTTCATTCTTCTTTCCAGATCTGGAGGGACGATGTGCTTCGGAAATCAATGCAAATACACAATGGTGCCATTTTCACTGTTAGCTTGAGTGGGAAATGGCTTTTTACAGGAAGTTGGGACCGGACCATCAAGGCACAGGTTTGAACACAGGCTTAACTAATTAATCTTTGTTTGCCTGAGACGTGGGCTCTACTAAGATGGGGAAAACCGTTGTACACTTTATTCTAAAATTCTATTCATTTGTAGGAGCACTTTTTCTATGTTTAGATTTACCGATGTCATCGGGATAACTGATTTGCAGGAACTAGCAGGAGACGATGTTGAAGTAGATGTTCTACAGATTGGATCAATTCCTTGTGATTCTGTCATAACAGCTTTATCATACTCGGAGGGGAAGCTTTTTGTCGGTTTTGGTGATCGGAACGTTAAGGTATGTTCTGTGATTTTATGTAGCTTTTCATGAAAATTGATCCTTTTATATCATTTCTCATGAGGTAAACAATCCAAATTGTATTTTACACAAATAACCACTTTATTCTTTTCAAGCCTGGCATTTGTTATGGTTGCCATCACCCACTTTTTGAACTATAACAGTGTTCTATTTTGATCCTTTCAATTCGACAGACTTCTGCATTTCCGTTTCTAGGCTTTAAGACCTCCATGCATGTAGATGATAACCAACAACGGAAATGAGATTTGCTTGTGGTTATCGTTTGTTTTTCGGTTTTGTTTTCAGTTTCCTACCAACCATGGATGAAAAGTAATCAGTTAACATTGATCTCAACTTGCAGGTATACTATCATGGGAAGTGATCAAGGTTTATCATCACCCTAACCGTTTCTCCTCTGGGATTTAGCTGCTGGCAAACCTTGTAATCTGGTTCTGATAGACGACGGTGCGGATGACCTTTGTACAGAAAATCACACCGATACATGTATACAGGGCGTGAGGAGTGTGAAGTGTCGCAACTCATGTTGAAGTTCTCCTCATGACAAGTAAAATGACGGTAAATGTTGGACTATGATAACCATGTCAAACACATATGCTAAATACGAATCCTTTTAAGAAAAATAAACACTTCAGGTAATGTATCTAATTTGAGTCATTTAAATACAGTTTATATATATATATATATATATATATTACTTTTTCATCAATAAAATAATAACATATATCGACATCTTATTAGATGGTATTAATTATTAAATAAAAAAAACTAACCGATATAGTGTAAATGATCGTTAACCAATTAACGGGTTTTTTCCCTCTAAAATAAGTCTTTTTGACCAAAATTAAAATATTGAAGGCTAAAGTGTTTAGAAAAAGAAATAATGGCCAATTGAGTATTTAGACAAGTATGAAAGATGAATTGTTTTTTATTTTATAATTTATGTTAAGGATTCGGGATTGTCCTATCCAATGCTTGTACTTTTGTTTTAGAATAGGATAAAACACGGTTATAATCATATTTGACTATGTTTCGTATTAAAAATTAAAATAAAAACTCATCTAAAATTAAATATACAAAGGAAACTAAAATTTATTAATATTTTCCCTACAAATTATTCATAGATTACTTTTTAAAATATATATATATATTCTACAAGATCGTCATATTTACTAGCATATATTTAGTACGTTAAAAATATTAATATAAATATTATTTGAGTAGCCCTGAGTTATAAGTTCATAAATAATTTAAATTAAATAGATTAATTTTTTTTTTGAGTAATATGGGGTAAGTGGAAAACATAGACCAGAAAGCCAAATCTACAAAAGAAGAATCACTTTTGTCTTCAATTTTAAACTATGAAAAGAAATTATGGTATATAAATCTAGATTTATTGATTATTTTTATTATTTTGTCATTATTATTGAGTAACTTTCACCCACATGAATCTAATAAATTATTATATATGTTTGAATGTTTTTTATTTACTTTATTTAAAAATTGCGAAGAATATGAATCCATATAATTTCCTCGTCTTAGTTGGTTAAATATCAGTTAATTAGAACTCATTAAACGGTCTTAATAGTTAAAATAAGTATTGTTCTTTGAGATTTTAATTCAAATAGTTGAATCTGTAGGATGTGTACATAATCAATAATCAAAAAAGATTTTAAACAAATAATATCTTATAATCATCGTTATACAAAAAAATATATTTACCAAATAAATTGATAATGGTCAAACTGATGGGTTCAATAATAGTATGAATACATGTATAAAATATTGTATTTTAAGAATTTCTTGACAAATTATAAATGAAATGACAATTGATTTATATATAAATATTTCATGATTGATTAAATAATAATGTATAGCTATTTTATTTAAAAACAAAAATATTAATTATTATCTTAAAATTATTTGATACCAATTAACCGTTACATAATTAAAAAAAATATTTATTTCAAATGAAAATAATTTTGTTTTTAAAAAAATGTTATTTAATACAAATTAAATTTTTGTTTAACGGGAAATAAAAAATATGTGTAATCAAAAATGAAAATTTAAATTAATAAAAGTTGCCAAATTTCATATTATTAAAATCATAAAATTATCAGGAATTAATTGATTTGGTAGATGATGTATTAAATCTCTTAAGTAAGATCAAATCTTAACAATATGAATAAAATAAATTAGATTCAAATGATATTCCTCATAATAAACTACTGTAATACTCGATCCAAATTAATCCGACAATTGATCATATATATATATAGGTGGTTTTAAAAAAAACTAAAATTGTTCAAGCTGAAAGAAAAGCTGCCTAAGGCTAGAAAATTATACTTGCCGTACCTCCTTTTTGCTATCTCCAATTCAACAGAGGAAGAAAATTTATTTACAAAAATGGAACTCAGAAACAATGAAGCTCTCCATAATGTAAACATAAAAACTAAAAAGCTGAGAATTGAGCGTTTATGGTGTTAGCTTTATTGCTCGAAACTTACAGCGGTTGTCGGAATCTTTGATTTCAAAGGCAGATTAATCGGCTGTTTGACGGATTTGTGCCGGTCATTGATGCCCTGTTGCGGAGCTAACTTTTGGGGCTGGAAATGAGATTCATCCAACTCCATTTCCGGTTTCCTTTTTATCTTTTTCTTTGGAAGTGAGGCATCCGCCATCTTGATTTCATCATCCATGGCACTGCTTGAGATGCCCTTTAACTTATCCTGTTTTCGTCCGTCAAAACTGGAATCATTTGTCGAGGGACTAGGAACCCGGATGGCAGCTGCTGCTGTGTTCGAAAGTGACTTGTTAGTTGAAAGTAAAGCTTGAGTACCGGGATCAATAGCCGACCTCTCCTGTGTGTGCTGTGACTGTGCACTTGAGGCAGAGTCCACTCGAGCGCTCTCCTCCACCCCAGGTTCCAACATCTTTTTCCTCTTGATTTTCTCCTGATCCTTTAAAAAGGACAAAGAAGAACACAAAAAAAGCAAACATCAATCAACCTGATGAGATAGTAGTCAACAATCAATAAATCGGAGATCCATCGAAAAATGGCAAACAAAACTTCTGGTTCATCTGAATCTGAAACCCTAAGAATAATTGCAAACAAGGGCTAGGTTGAGCTAAATGTTCAGAAAAGAAAGATTATCAATAGCCAAGCCTAACAAAACCTTGAAGCTAAAAGTTTTTGTGATGGATTGCATTCAGTCTGCAGAAGACTTGCAACTTAATTTGAGAACATATAAACACCGATAAAATGTGGTACCACAACAATGGCGAAATGCTGAGAAGAGAGTAAGTACCTTACGTCTATTGTACCTTGCTCTCCGTCTTTCCTTTGCCCTACATATTGAACGTTTAATCTCATGGTTGTCCATCATATCATTTGGCCACAGCTGTGCAAGCTGTTCAAAGATGTACTCCAAATGTAAGATGATATAATATATCATACAATGTAGAACCATAATCAAGAATAAAGAACAATAACCAATAGCTTTATCTCCAACAAACGAAAAGCAAAAGGAAAATGATCAGATCAAAGAACAAGAGATCCATTTAAGGTTAACACAGGAAATGCGTTGAAGAACTTCACAAGATTGAATCAAATTATTTGGGAAAGAACAATAGTGACAATGTAAGATAAAATCTATGAATTCTGTTGAGCAACAAGCAATTGAAGGCATCTTTTAGGTATAAATGTGATCAAAGGGAAAGATAGCGTAGTTGTTCAAGTGAAGGGTACAAAAGAAAAAAAAAGGGAAGTAGGGAAAGACAGAAGAATAAGAATTCATTATGAATTTTGTCTTTCATTATGAATTGAAGGCATCTTTTACAAATTAGTAGAGAAATAATTATTTAGTGCCTAACCTCTACATAAAGCTTTCTGATTTGTGGACCAGCATCTTCATCTAATCCCTGCAGCAAATAAACGATAGAAAAGTGAAGATAAGATTCATTACGAATAAAATTTTCCCAACAAAGATGAATTTGTCAATATGGGACATGCGATTACGTCAACATAGAGGTCATAAAGTTCACAAATCTTGTTCTCCAATGGTGCGTCCATGCTAAATTTTTTTCTAAAAAACTCTTTCTTCAGAACCAATTTCTTGAAAATCATCAGAAGCTCTGGGTTGCTGTTCCAACATCTGAAAAGAAAAATGCATTTTTTCATACAGTGTAGGGGTTTTTTTCTTCTTTTTTTTTTGCTTTTGATCTTAAGCAAAGCAGTGTAAAAGCTATATTTAATCACAGTGAGGCGGCAAAAAGATAAAAGACTGTTGAATTAGGAACAACTAAGTAAAAAAAGAAGAAAAAAAAGAGAATAACAAGGGGTGAGAGGAGAGAGAGTAAAACAAACCTTTGTCTCAAAAGAAGGAAGTCTCGCTTTTATCATCGCTGTGATTTCCTTCTTGATCAGTTGAAATCTAGCAGCTTTTTCTTGCTTTGCTGTTGGTGACACATCCATATTAATCATGATTTTGAGGTTCCTCTGCATCCAAAATATTGTCCCAAATTTGTAAATGAGTAATTGAGAAAGATGACCCATTTTGATTTAACGAATTTATTGGAAATGAATTGAGCAAAAAAGAGGTCTAATCTTTTATAAATAAAATATATAAAAGTAACAAGCAAAATGTTTACATAGTCCCTGTTCATTAATTATTTTACCAGTGCTACATTTCAAAGCATGAAGATGATAAAGCATGGGAAATCTTCCAAAAGCCAGAAAACTTGCTCACATATTTGATCACCAACAAACAGTCTCTCAAGTAGTATGGTTCTAAAATAGGATCCGACAGAACTTGGATTCTAACCCAAGAAAAAATGTGTCAAGATCACACAAATTTAATTGCATGAGTCAAGAACCAAAATATATGCACTAACATTACAGAGCCACCATAACTGCAATTCCAAAGGTCACAAGTAGTCCAATACAAGGAAAAGTTTCTTCGCCGAAACAAAAGGAACTACATCACATCACATGTACTAAAAGCAAAAGCTATGTCAGTAGAAAGGGAGATTTAACAGAAAATATTCTAGATTTGAGTGTTATAGGTATGTTGGCATGCAACAAATGATATATGAACTTGATTAAGTGCAATATTCTGGAGCTGTGACTGAAAAATTGTAGGTGTCTGATACCTTAAGGGTTCTTAGCTGTATTAAATGACCAAGGATGCTCATCAGGCGATTCAGTAACTCCTTGGAAACTTTCCCCTGGCTTGCCTGCCACAAATATCAAAATGAAATTGGTAAAACTTAAATCTTTCCTGAAGGCATCACGCCATTGGAAAAAATTGACAATCTGAAAATGAGTTGTTTTACAAGACATAAAAATGTTAATAACAGTCCCACACCGCTAACCTAGCAACTTTAGAGAGCTTAAGCTTTATTTCTTTAGGCAATCTCCTCTTAATCGCATCAGCCTCTTGATTTTCCATAGCAGGCGGCCTAGCTATGAAATTTTAGACAGGAAGGGAAAACAATATTACTTTAGAAGGATTTATTCATGGTTATATTGTACAAGACTCATATACACTTACATTCTGCAACTA